GCAGTGACTGGGGTAATGGGGGTAGGTGTGTTAGAGACAATGAAGTTAGCACAGGATAGAGCAGGGTTCAGGGCTGTTGTACACAGGGTCGCTAGGAGTCACAGGTGACTCGATGGCACATAACAACAAACAAGATAGATTAGACACAGGATCATTTGAAATTCTGTTCTCAAAGGATCAAAAAGTTTACTTTTTGATTATGACCAGATTGTGAATGTGGAGATTTCTAAGAGGATCATTTTGGGTTTCTTTTGGTTGTTTTAAGATTTTTTTTTTTTTCCTCTAAATCATAGCTTTTATCAGTCAGAATTGACGGCGAAAGGTTTTATGGTTTGTCTTTTCATATGTGCCTTATCTCAACAGCAAATAGAACAGTGAAAATAGACTTAAAGCATTCTCTGAGGTCTCTTCTTTGGTTCTGCTTTTCTGGTTCTCAGTTCCATTTGCATAATTTCATCTTGTCATGAAGTTTTACAGCTCAGGTTACCTTATGAATTTACCTGAGATACTGGAAGTAAGAACTTACACTAATTACTTAAAATATGAAAAAAGGATCACTCTTTTACAATGCCATGATAATTCACTGAGATTTACCAGTAAAGATAATCAGTTGTCCTCCGAAAATAGTTACAAAACAGGTAGTCTATCATGACAGCTAATTGACTTTTGTTAATACCAAAAGATAATACGAATTCTGACTTCTCTACTGAGTTTACAATAGCCATGCAAGCCACATTTCTTCTTATAAAATTTTTATATTCTGATCAGATTTTCCTAGTTTGAAAATTCTTTTTTTTTTAATGCTATTAATAAAAATTGGAATCAGTATTTTTTTTTCCTGACTAGTCAATCCTTTAAAAATCTAATATGCATATATTGATATTCATTAATAATAATAAACTTTTAAAAAAGAAAAAATAATTGACTTGGCATAATGGCATAGCAAGACAATTCCAAAACATTTTGAGAAATAAACATGTATAATATATAGTCAATTTGACCTCTATATTTATTGTATGTAGGTAGAGACTAGAATATTCTCTAATGTTCTGGAGGAAAACACTAATTTATTTCCATATAAATAATTTATACGTTCCAAGCAATATTCTCACTTTGATTTAGCTTGGATTTGTGTATAAAAACAGAATAAAAAACAAGATAAAATTACATTTCTTATTTTTTTATTTTGTGAGAAAGAAGCAGAATATTACATAATCATCTTAATAATTTTAAAGGTTCCTAGATGTATAGCTACTATATCAAAAAACCATCTTAAACTCATTGACATTGGGTTGGACCCAACTCATAGCTGGCTCTTCAGTGAGTTTTTTAAGGCTGTGAATGTACAGGAAGAGATTATCCTTTTTTTTATTTTCCTGTGAAGCAGCTGGTGGATTAAAAAGATCATGACTAATATCTCTTTTAATTATCCTGGTTGAATTATATTTTGTGTCACAGAAATGCAAAGTAAACTAAATATGGTCTATTGTTGTTGATTACCATAGAATCACTCCAGAGAGTTTTCAGAGAAGTTGAGAAGATTGCTTTTCTTCTCTCAAGGAGCAGCTGGTGGATTCAAACCTCATGATTTGGGATTGCAGGGCAGCTACTTACCACTAGGCTACCAGAGCTCCTTATACATGGCCGAGGCTGAGTTCATTAACTAGTAAATCTGTCACAAAAAGAATCTTAATTGCCACCATATATTTTTCAATTTTTTAGTTAACACTGTGATTCAAAGCATGTAACTCATTGCTGTCAAGTCGGAACTGACTCATAGCTGAGCTGTCAGTGGGTTTGTGGAAGCTGTAAATCACACATACGGAAATTACTCTCCTTTGTCCCATAGAGCTGCTGGTGGATTTGAATACCTTTTAGTCAGCTGTCTGTCCATAGGGATACCCTCTCAATAGCCTATACTATCACCCAACAGAAATTAGCACTTTGTAGTTATGAGGGTTTTTAATCAATGGGGTCTTTTCAAAGGCCTCTTATATTTTTATCCTTTTTTAATTGTTATTTTACAAAACACAATTGTATAATTTACAGACAGAACATTGGTTAACAGTTTTACAAATAATCCTTTTTCAATTCAGAAAGTTGAACTAATTCAATAAAAGCTTGAATACATATTATTTGCCTGGTTCCATAGGGTCGCTTTGAGTCGCCTGCGACTCGACGGCACTTAACAACAATAACATCAACAGAGAGAGACAGAGAGAGATCAGCTGGCCCAGTGAAGAGAAAACGATGTGACCAAGACAAAGGTGGGTGACTTCTGGTTTGCAGCCCACCGGCCAGTCTTTCATTGTTTTTGTTCAGACATTCCTCTAGGTCGTATAGCCCTGGTGTACAAGTTGCCATCCCGCGGTCACTTGTGGGTGCTGTGAGGCTGAACACTGTGACAAGGATGTGTCAAATGCATTAATGGTTGGCTACCCAATGCATATGGAGAGTGGGGTGGAGCTCCCCGATTAAACAAGTGTGGAAGGAGGAGTGGCATCCACTTCCATAATAGCTTGCCTCTGGAAACCCTATGAACCTGGAGAGAGGATGAAAGGCACCCAAGCGTCGAGGACTCTCCTTCATAGGGTCGCTATGAGTCGCCTGTGACTCGACGGCACTTACAACAACAACAACAACATAGCTAATATTTTAGAATTATAACAGTTCAGTACATTCTTCATTGTCATCCTGCTAACCAAGTGAACATGGCTAAAAAGTCAGATTATTTATGCTCTTAAGGTTACATAGAGTATGACACCTTATTGTTGCAAAACCTGCATTTGACATAGTCTCAGAACACTGTGTCTCCCTAAAAAGACTGCTAGGCTTTTAAGTGCATGTCTTGAGAATCTAAAATGTCACTGGAGATTTCAAGAGTCTTATTTCTTTAAATTTCATAAAAGCATGCATTTCTAAGTATTTCTATGTCTTGCTGACACAGAAGAAAGCAATGTCATTTATGTGTGTATCCTTCTGTGATTCTTTTTAGATCTAAATAACGATAACCTAAGAAGACCTTCAACAATATGGATTGACACAGTGACTGTAACAAAGCACTCAAGTATATTAGATATTATGAGAATCGCACAAGATAGGGCATGGTTCAGATCTATTGTTCACACGATCACTATGAGTCAAAGTTGACTCAATGGCACCTACAACCCACTTAACTCTGTAATGAAGAAAAATATATATACAACAGAGTTAGAAGTTAAAACATTTGCTCACAATTATAAAAATTAGGTTGAGCTCTATTAATATCTTGGGAAGTTTTGTTGTATTCTCCACAGTGCCCAGTATGGTGCAGAAAATACTCAATGACAATGCTTTATTAAAGAATGTTTCTGCAGCCTTATCTGAGTATAAAATAGAATTTCTGAGAGTTAAAAGTCTCAAGTAATTACTTAATAAGGAGGCCTTAAAATTTAATTAACTAAGAGACTTATTTTAGACTTTTACATTACAATACTTCATTTTATTGTGTGTCCATAAAACTACAAATCTACAGTTAAGAACCTCTCCAAATTACCGAGAAGTAATGACACCAGTTTGAGGACTAAGGTGCATCGGATTCAGGCCATAGTCTTTCCAATCAATTGCTATGCATCTGAGAACTGGACAGTAAATAACTATGACAGAAGAAGAGTTGACACCTTTGAGCTGTGGTAGTCAAAAAGAGCACTGAACATCCCATGGACAGCCAAGAGAACAAACAGGTATGTCTTGGATAGAGTGCAGGCAGAGTGCACTTTGGAATCAAGAATGAAGAGACTTCGCCTCACATACTTTGGACATGTTGCTAGGAGGTGCTATTCCTTGGAGAGGGACATGATGCTGGGAATGGTGGAGGGCTGGCGAAGGACAGGAAGACCCTCGACAAGGTGGACTGACATGGTGACTGCCACAATGGTCTTTTATTTGTTGGGAAGTGTGAGGATGAAAGAGGATAGAACAAGTTTCAGATCTGTCATTCATAAGGTTGATATGAGTCCTACTTGACTTGATGGCATCTAACAACCACCACCACACAACTTAAGAACCAGATAAATAGTATACTTAATACCCTATACCAGATCCAGGTCAAGGATTAGGATTTAGGTTTGTTGAGAACAAACAGTTTTACAAATTTCTGCAAAGAAAGTTATTTCCTTTAACAGACTGAGAAAAGCATATGTTGTTTAGACTTATGATTGTGTCAAATCACCTTATTATCAGTGTAGGTACACATCATTTTTTGAGAGCAGGTAGTTGTTTAGGAGGGGAGGATGCCCATCAAAAGAAGAAGGATATACTGCATTTAAACAGATGAGAGAGAGAAGTCTTTAAAAGGGATGTATAATTAGGTATTATTGTCATGACATGAGTCCAGAACAAAGGCTGCATAGTGGAGTGGAATTGGGGGGAGTGATTGTATAACAATGAAAGAATTTTTATTTTACTTTTCAAAGAGAAGAATGAACTGAGGGAAGGGCTGGGCAGGGAGAAAGGTACAACAATGAGTGAAGGGAAATCCAAAATCTCTGTAAATTTTCATTAAAATTAATAATAATAATAAAATAAATTTTAAAAATTTTTTTAAAAAGGAAGGATCTCTATCTTTAGCAGGGAGGGAGCTCTTATGGACTAGCAGATAGAGAGCTGTACCACCAACCCAAATGTTCTTGGTTCTAATCTACCAGTTGTACCACATGAGAAAGATGGGTGATCTCTTCTGTGATTTGCAGTCTCAGAAAACCTGCTGGAGAGTTAGCTATGATTCAGGCCTGACTCAAATGCATTGAGTTGAGTTTGAATAATGCCATCGTATCAGATTTATGCAAGATATGGAAAATCACAACCTTCTAAAGGGGGCAAAATATGTTTACTGAAAACAGTTATGGTCCCTTAGATAAATTATTTGATTAAATTATGTATTGTTACATTAAAATAATACATATTCTCAGTTTCAGTCTGCATGTTTAAAACTTTTCAATCAAAAATGAAAATGTCATTACCTTTCTTGCTTCTTTTATCATCTTCCGAACAGTTTCCTTTATGGTAAGTAGTTGTGCTCTTGGTGGATGAAAAAGGAGGTCTATATGTGTGCCCCCTAGAAGTCCAGGCATCACATAGGGCCAGCCTAAGTCGAGGTTCGGAGCCTCCACATCAGACTCAATTGGCCAGTATGTCCCAGAAGATGAGGTATCATCACAGGAATTGTCTGTACTATGGGTTGTACTTTGTGCAACTTTCTGGACATTTTTCAAAATATAATTAATTTCTTCCTCAGCTAGAAATTCTGAAACTCGTTCCTTGGCAAGAAATTCTTTGTATGCTTCTAGCCCATGTTCAATCAGAGTATCAACGGCTACCCGATACCATTCCTTGTAGTGAGGCTCAATGTAGTTGTCTGATTTACACTCATCATTCAATGAGGAAAGCAGAGATGAGGTCTCCATGCTTACAGTTGATTGGCAAGGGCACATTCAAATGTCCATTCATGCAGTGATAGGAGATATCTAGGAAAAGAAGGAAATTAAGATCAGTCTGGATTCTGCTGTTAAAACCTTGATATATGCCAATTATTTATTTTCACATTTACTTATTCCTACTTTCATCACTTCAAATTAATATAAATTTCATATCCACACTTTACAATAGCACCATATTTTACATATCTACCAAAGAGGAGTGTGGCATCAGGATTGGAGGGAGACTCATCAATAACTTGTGTTACGCACTTGACACAAACTTGCTTGCTGAAAGGGAGAAGGACTTGAAGTACTTGTTGCAGATCAAAGAATGCTGCCTTCAGTATGAATTGCATCTCAATGTCAAGAAGACAAAAATTCTTACCACAAGACCAATAGGAAACTTCATGATGGATGGTAAGGAAATTTAAACTGTCAGCAGTTTCATTTTGCTTGGATCCACAATTAATACCATTAATATCAGTGGTCAGGAAATAAGGAAACACATTGCACTGGGAAAATCTAGAGTTAGAGACCTTTCCAAAGTACTCAGGAGTAATGATAACAGTTTGAGGACTACAGTGTGTCTGATTCAGGCCATAGTCTTTCTGATTTTTTGCTATATATCTGAAAGCTGGACAATAAACAAGAATGACAGAAAAAGAATTGATCCCTTTGAGCTGTGGTGTTGGAAAAGGGCACTGAATATCCCACGGATGGCCAGAACAAGCAAATTGTCTTTAAGAGGGTGTAGCTGGAGTGCTCTTTGGAGGCAATAATAAAAAGGCTTCACTTCACATACTTTCGGCATGTTGCTACAAGGGGCTATTCCTTGGAAAAGGACATGATGCCAGTAAGGGTGGAGAGCCGGCATAGGAGAGGAAGACCCTCAACTAGGTGAACTGACACAGTAACTACTGCAGTGGCCTCTTGTGCGTCAGGAAATATGAGGATGGCGAAGGGTAGAACAGGGTTCAGATCTTTTCTCATGAGATTGCTATGAGACATACTGCACTCAATGGCACCTGACAACAACAACCCCGCCACCACACACACACACACACACACACACACACACACGTCAAACAGGTTTCTTTCACTGCTAAATTTCTTCTCCCAGGTATCTCTAGTTTCACCCTTTCACCTTAGGTGCTTGTTTCTCTGATACTCATCATTCTTTATTTTAACCTGGGACTTGGCATGGCACTTTCCATTTCTAAAGCCGTGTGTGTGTGTGTGTGTGTGTGTGTGTGTGTGTGCTATACAATTTCAGAATGTGTGTGTGTGCTTAATATAATTTCAGAATATAGAATATAATGACCAGCCAGTTGTTCATGCAAATTTTTACTGAATATTTGGAGTGCAAATAATAATATGCTAGACGAAATATAAAAGCACAAATGATATGCCTTCCAGGAGTATATTAAATACATGAAAAGGTAAGATATATACACAAACAGTCAATGCTTTGAACAAAGTACTATATTGCAAAGGACCAAAATGAGTAATGCTTCTACTCAGTGCTTAAAGGATAAAAACAAGTAAAGATCGCTCTAGGGTAAATGAGTCACTGAAAATTTTTAGAAGGGTGGGGAGAACCTTAGCTGAGCCTGGGCAATCCAATGGTTGATATACAAGTCCACTGTTTTTCTATATACCAGCAATGGTCAGGCAGAAAAAATAAATATTGGCATCTTATACAAGAGAAAACACAAGCAAAAACACAAATTAAAAATAAGTATATTAGAGAGTCAGCAAAAATTTGAGCTACTGGTTAGCAGATTACTTTTACTAACAGTAGGAGATAAAATTAAATCGACAGCATGGAATTTGGCATAAAAGGACAAGAGGTATTTTTTATGATTCAGTAAAGTTGGGTCTAAAACAATTTGTCTGATAGCAGCAAGAGAGAGGAAGAGAATCTTTGAGTGTTCAAACAGCCAGTGGAGGAATGAAAATATTCTAAAGATGCTACACAGAAAGAACTAACACCCAAGGACATGCTAACATATGTTGTTGTTGTTGTTAGGCACTATTGCATTGGCTATGACTCACAGCGATCCTATGAACAACAGATTTAAAAGTTGTCCCATCCTGGGCCATCCTTATCATCCTGACACACATGAGGCCATCTCTATAGTAATTGTATCCATCAATGAGTTGAGGGTCTTCCTCTCTTTCACTGACCATCCACCTTTTCAAGGAATAGCCTCCACTAACAACATGCCCAAAGTATATGAGATGAAGCTTAACCATCCTTAACTCAGGATGCATTTTCTGTACTTTCTGTAAGGCTTATCTGTCAGTTCTTTTGGCATTCCAAGATATATTCCATATTCTCCGCCAACACTACAACTCAAACGCATTGATTCTTCCTCTGTCATCCTTATTCATTATTCATACATTGGAATGACTATAGCTTGAATCAGGTATATTTTAGTCTTTAAAATGGCATTGTTGCTCTTCAGGACTTTGGAAAGGACTCATACAGCAGACTTTCCCATCGCTATAGGCCTCCTGATTTCCTGAGTACTGGTACCAAGAGTTTTGACTATGAATCCAAGAAAAATTAAATGGTTGACAAGTTCAATCTTTTCTCCATATATCATGATGTTGCCCATTGCACAGTGGTGAAGATTTTTGTTTTCTTGATGTTGAGATGTAATCAGTATGGAAGGCTGTATGTATCCCTGATCTTCTGCCACAAGTACATCAAGTTCTCTTTGCTTTCAGCAAACAAAGTTTGCTGAAAATTTGCATAATGCAAGCTGCTTATGTATCTTCCTTCAATCTTGATGTCATACTCTTCTTGAGAAAGTCCAGCTTCGAAATTACTTGCTCAGTATACAGATTGAATAGGTATGGAGAAAGGATATAGCCATGACACACACTTTTCCTGATTTTAAATCAGGCAGTGCTCCCATCTTCTGTTTGCACAATAACTTCTTGGTCTAGGTGATAAAATCTTTAAAGATACAAATCTGTTAGAAATTACTATCTGCTTTTCCAAGTCTGTCTTTTACCATTTGTCTGCCATTACCATTTGTACAGCTAAACCATAGGTGGTATCCACTGCTGCTCCCTGGGATTAGATGGGTAATCTTTTCCTATGCAATTTACAGTTTCCCCATGAACCTTATTTGAGGGTCAGGTATAAGTTGGTTCTGACTTGATGGTAACATGTTGAGTTAAAGAAAACAATGAGAGTGTAGAGATTGATAAAGAGTATCAAGTCTTAAAAGAATGTACAACAGAGCTAGTAAATTTCAATTGCAGCAATGGGAGAAAGAATAAAAAAGATTCAGTATATATTAAGGAAGGCTAAGAAACATAGAAAGCAAAGGGCATCTTACTTCACCATTTTAGTGAAGACCAAGAATTTTTATAGACAAAGTTCAAGAGTAAAGAAAGGTTTTATGAGTGTTAGAAAAAAAGACATGATTTAAAACAAGTGTGTGCCTTAGAATTATATGCTACGTGGACAGTGTTGTTGTTAGTTGCAATCGGGTTGACTAGGACTCAGCAATTCTATGGACAACAGATCTGAACCTTGCCCTATCCTGCTTTTTCTTCATAGAGATACACATTTGAGCACGCATTTTCACTTAAAAATAGTAAACAAGTCAGTAAAAACAGATAGGCAATAAATAAACAGGAACAATAGATAAACAGATTGTAAATCAATAAGTAAAAAGTGTGTGCACAAGAAGATGAGTAAGAAATAAAACGAAAAGAAATAAAGACAGAGATGCTGTTACACTTTGCTGTAATTGATGTCCAACAAGTTGGACATCCCTGACCTTAGTGGCCACTGAGTTTGCAGGACTTTTAGTCATACCTGGCTTGCTACAGCAAGGACCTGGTCCTAGCCAGGACTTTTACAGTCTCCAGGTTACCCATGGTGAATGATGTTGAATGGAGTTTCCCGATTAAAACAAGCTTGGAAGCAGGAGTGGCATTCACTTCCATAAATAGCTTGCCTCCAGAAACCCTATGAACCTGGAGAAAGGATGAAAGTCATGCAAGGGTCAAGGACTTGCATTCATAGGTCGCTATGAGTTGCCTACGACTCGACAGCACTTAACAACAACAACATTCTGCTGAGCTCACCCATAAAACACTCTTTGAAAGAAGAGATTATGGATTTGGACTCTTCAAGAGATTCATATAACACAAATATGAACTTTTCTAATCTCTATTCAAGAAGTTATATGTTTCTGTTGTGAAAGTTGCATACTGAATAAAGAGAACCAAATGGGGGGAAAAAGAAATTATATGTTCCTTGTGGTTGTTTGTGTTGTCTGTGGTTTTCCCCTGGATTGTTCTTTTGCTATTATAAAAGGATGTAGATCAACAGAGTATTATGTGGAGCTCAAAAGAAAAGGCTAAACATCTCATCTAAGAAGGAAAATGTCTGCTGTAGAGCCCTTGGCTGGCCCCCTCACTTGATCCAAGCCTGGGCAAAGGACACTAGAGCCTGCCCTGCACTTAACTCTAGACTAAGAATCCAGTGTGGCTATTACAAATGTTATCATAGTAGAGTTCTGAAGTCATGGTACCATTGGCCCATCCCTCTAACATTGTCTGTCATCAAATCAGAACCGACTCACAGCTGACCTTCCAGCCAATTTCTGAGGTTGGAAATCCTCCAGCAGTTTTCTGAGGTTGGAAATCACATGACAGGGGAATGGCTGTCTTTGTCCTCAGGACCCATTGTTGGGTTCAAATCACCAGAGAGATGCAACACCCACTGGACTAAGCCACCAAAACTCCCCCCTCATTTACCCATTGGGCAGGAGGTAAAACAAACATTAAGTTGGTTTCTTAACGTGAAAACTCTGAAATGGAGAAAATAAATGTTTTTTTATCTTAAAAAAACCCCTCAATCTACTAATATGTACAAAGAGTACATTTTGCAATTTTCATAAATGTCTCCATCATTATATAACAACTCTCCATCATCTTGGAAATCACATTTCATTTCTCTT